CATTGCAATTTCAGTAATTAATTCTAACTTGAGAGATCAATGACGATGCTTTTTTTAAAAGTTTTTTGAAGAAAAAAGATAGTTTTGGCGGGAACTTGACCGTCGATAGATTCTTGCTTCGATTTATCGTTTAAATAATGGGTTGGAGTGGATTTTAATATGTATAAGTGATGCGATTTTATGTATTAAATGTAGAGATGGGCCGAATATTCGTTTCATATTCGGTATTCGGCATATTCGGCAGCTTTACCGAATATTTGTATTCGGCCGAATATTCGGCTGAATCATCGAACATTCGGTAAAGTAATATACTCAGTGTCCACTGTATTGAAATGTACGTATTGAGTAAAGCCATGTCTTTCATAATTTTACTATTGAAAGTATATTTAATTTATGGGTTAAATATACTTGTATAGCATTATGTTTTTGAGGCACTGTAAATTTATTTCCAGTTATAGCAAATAGACAGCTGGATAAAATGTTTTTGGAATCAAACAAAGAAACATTACATTACATTAGGAAATTTCAATTTACTTTGGTTGTCAGTTTCTTTAAAATAAATCCAAATGGTAGATCTCCTGCCAGTCATTTTTATCAATTTTTACTAATAATATCACAACGAAATTTTTTTCGTACAAAAAGAGTCAAAGCATAAGCATGTGCGCCGGCAATTTGCTCAGTACAAGATGATGATACAAAGGCATGTCAGGTGTGGCGGGGGAGTGAATGGCAGGTCCCGGCGCTAATCCCGCGAGCTTTAGGTAACAAGTTTCGCTAGAAATTGGTTAGGTACCGAGGTGATCCTGCCGAATAATGTTCGGCCGAATATTCGGTTCGGTAAAAGTTTTACCGAACATTCGACCAAATATTCGTATTCGGTGAAATCCGTGTTCGGCCTATCCCTAATTAAATGTCTGCGCAATGAACTAACAGAGAAAACTACGAAACAAGTGATTCAATGTTGATATATAAATCTCAAGTTATTTTGATCGCTTAGGCGCCTTATGAACTTTAGTAACTGTCGTCATCGACTGTCCGCTGGGTTGAGCTGTCGTCAAAATCTTTCTTAATTTTCGAAATGTGACACATCAGCATATTGTAAAAAACTCTATAAAAACGAAGATCCAGAACGAAATGAAGACATGGCATAAAGGACAAGTATCCAAACCAAAAATGTAACGATTAAGGCAAATCCTCCCTATAATGGGATATGTCTTTGTCCAGCAGTGGGCATTTACGCGCTGACGATGAAGGCGTTATATAAAGACGAAGGCAGTAACGGAACTTTATATGACGACTGCATGGTTAAGTTTTACATCAGAGTAACTGACTATTGAGTCACAGGACTTGAAGCCATATTAAAGGCAGAGCCGACGTTTTTGCACAAAAAGTCGGGTCTGGTTGTGTGAGATTTCTCTTGTCTTTAATATTGCATATACTACCTCCGATATTATAAAAAAAGCATAACATTGGGCTCAGGTGGGTCAAAAGCCGCGATGTACATCCGTAAAATTATGACATTATAATATTATATAATATGACCAATTGGGTAACGACTCCATTATATACCAGGCACGTAAATTTAGCAGCAGCAGTTTTGTTTAATTAAAATTAAAATATACGAATTTTGCTTCTAGCAATTGAACATGCCCACTATTGTATTCAAGTTTCATTCAGAAGTACTGAACTAAATAATAAAGCAAAATTTTGGTAGCTCTGACAAATCTCTGCTCGCTACTCATTTAAAAAGCTCTATACCTTCAAATTCAATTTGTTTACATATTATTTTATATTTATTGCCATAAATGTTTTAATAATATAGAACTTCGTGGACGCTTTTGTAACTGCTGATTAGCACAGGTAAAATCGGCTTTAAACAACTAAAAAGAATTTAAAAAATTCTCATTTTAGCTCCTGATGTTGGTACTAAGGCAGAGTGTATGAAGTATTACAGCCTCGACTTCTTTTGGCGGCTGGAACTAATCCGAATAATTCCTCAGAACACTCCCCATGTCTGATACGATAGATAAACGCAAAGGGACGCAACATCCCTACGCAGCGCCAGTGAATCGTGCCGATCACAAAGCACTCGGTCGTCAACGATTCGAATCACTTTGCGCTGGATGCGGTCAAGTGGAAGGAGCTGACACTGGTGTGCCCCGGCCTAGATATTCAAGAATAGTATTCTATGTGAGGCCGAACTTTCGCTTTGTACAGTTACAAGAAACGTGCCAGCATGAAATACTGTCTTCCTCTGCTGGGCAAGCCAAGCTTTTTAGAGGCCAATTTGGCCTTCCAAGTGACCACAAAACTACCCACTATTCAATATGTCGACGCCGAGGATTCTGATGCCAGCTGAGGCAGCAAGGGAAGTGAGGAAGGGAGGTGTTCTGAGGAAGTGACCAGTATAAGTAATAACACTGCAATACTGCTTCTTCTAGATTTAATATCGCAATAAACAGTTAGTAAAGTGATACTAACGTAAATTGCCAAGTAATGTTCTAAAAGTAAAGAATTTTTTACATACACCATAAATTTCACAAATACGACTTAGTACTTTTTGGATGCTGGATAAAAATATATTGTGTTCCGCTTCTTCAATAATTAATGCTTAAAAAAGAACAAGACGTCCTTATCCCAATCTCACTATGAAATTTCTGTCACATCAATTATGTGTCTTTGAGTGCCTTTAAACCGAGGAAACACGACAAAGGCGTTCTTTTTAGCTGTTAACGCGCTAACTTGTGTCTTCAGGGGATTGAATTGGACTAGATTTAGTCGTCAACAATCCGAGACTTTGTTAAGCAAAGACTCGACGTCAGCCACAAGTTTTCCCGAGAAATATTGGCACGGCCGGTGTATAAAACATCACCAGTGCTGTCGTCTGCATATCAATGAATTTTATCAGTTTGCAACATATCATGCAATATATCAAGAAACAGCGTTGGTGTAGCACGCAGCCCTGTGGAACACCAGCGTTAATAGGCTTGTAATCAGAGCATGCACCGTCTACTATGAGCTTGACGCTCCGATTAGTAAGAAAGCTAGTGATCCAATCGCACAATTTCTCGGGAAGCTTATAGGAAGAGAGCTCCGAAAGAAGCGCTTTATGTCAGACCCGATCGAAGGCCTTCGCTAAGTCCAAACTAACTTCCCCCTTGGACTCTACTGCCTCCACCCATCTATGAGTAAGGTAGACCAGAAGATCACCAGCTAATCGACCACGATGGAAACGGCATTGGCGGTCAATGATCAGCTGGTGATCCTCAAGGTACCTCATGAGCTGGCAGTTTACACTAGACGCCATTATTTAGGAGCTGTCTTCCACGAATTCGAGACTATGCCTTGGGAGTAGGAGTACCGAAAAAACGCGTTAAAACCGGTGCCAACTCCGAAGCACACGTCTTCAGCACAATGGGAAGGACTCCATCAGGCCCACTCGACTTATTGACGTCCAGGGAAAAGAGTGCCTTGCGAACCGAGCGCTGTGTAAACCGCACCTCCGGCATGGAGCACTCACATCGCGGGATGGTCGGCGATGTGTTCCCCCCGTCATCGAGAGTCGAGTTGCACGCAAAGAGAGAGCCTAACAGATCGGCTTTCTCCTTTGCGGCATGGGCCAGTGAGTCGTACTCTCTGTGCAGAGATGGTAGAGATAACAGACAGAAGTTGCTTAAGAGAGCCTTGGCGAGAGACCAGAATGCACGGGTTCCCAAAGGAAGACGAACTAGCTTCTCGCCAATTCTGATGTGCTCAGACCTTGCTTTGGCAATGACTCTTTTGAGGGTACCTGGAGGCGGAATAATACTTCTTTTTAAGAGCGCTGGTGTTTACATCTTGAGACGTTGATGCGTCAGCCCAGGTTCGGTAGCACTCCTGCTTATAGCGTGATGCTATTTTACAGGAGCGACCAAACCATGGCTGGGATCTGCCTCCGATGGGCACCACAGAGGCCGGAATAAAAAGTTCCATACCCTGAAGTACCACATCAGCGACAGAATCAGCAATAACGCTAGGATCGTCCGGCGAGAAGCAAACCCACCCCCAATGGTAGGATGCAAAAAAGACCGCATTCCATTACGATCACGATCTCTGCGGAACCGATCTGCTGTAGCACGGAATCTGTAGTCATTTGGACGTGGTCAAGGAGTCAGTCTGTTTGGGTGTTACCGCTATGGGACCTATAGAGGCACCCAAAGACGCAGTGATGGTCATCGCTGTCTACGCGTAGCCATAGGATGGACAGGTCCGTAACTTCAAGACTGCCGAGGCGTTGAAAACAGATATCTTTTCTGACGTATACGCAAACTCCAGCCCGGGGTACAAAGGAATGTTCTAATTTGTACCCCGGGTAGGAGATACGAAGTATCAGCCTGAGAGGACACCTGAGTCTCGGTTAAAAATAGTACCACTACCATATGGAGACGGCGAAGCCGGCCTGGCTTCGCCGTCTCCAGATAGTAGTGGACAGCGTTAAGGTTGGAATGAAGCCCCTTGATGTTGCAAAAATTCACGGATAGCGTGACATGGGTCACCTTGGTGTTGTTGCTCTGCTTGTACCGAGCAGTTTTTGTCACGAGCGGAATTGCCCCCCTCTCTCCTGGATGCTCAGCGAGGGATTATCCGTCACCAGGGGTGCTGATATCCTCCTGGGGTAGATCTTCTCTTAATTCTGTTACCATGTGAAGGGGGGGGGGGATGGGACCTCCAGGCACCTGCACTCACCAAGCGAAACGCAGAGGTAACCCTACTTTACGCTGGTATTCTTTGAGGTCGTGATACCACCCCGGTTTGAGCCGGCCCATCCGTGCGACAGCAAAAGCTGCCGCGTGGCTCTACCATTGTTAAATATAGTAAACGCATTTTTGCAAAATCACAAAGTATTTTTGTCTTTTTTTTGTCGAGTTCCACATTTAAAAATCGTTGTTGAACAATGAAAGGTTCTCAACACGCAATATCCTCGAAATTCAAATGGCATTAAGATAAAGATGTTAGCATACCTGATGTGGTGAGAAAGGCGGTCGCGAGTTAGGCGGCGGCGGATACCGTTGCGGATAGGAGCCGGGGGGGCCGTAGCCGCCGGGCGGCTGCTGTCCGCCAGCCGCGCCCGGCCCGCCGCCGTACGGAGGTCCACCGTAGCCCCGCGGCGGCTGCCAAACAAAACATATTTGTTAATCATCATATTGATTACCACTTCTGCTTTATAATATAAAAAACCATATGACTTCGGCCTTATTTATAGTTAATGAGGGTCAAAGCAAAATAAAAAAGAACACAGCATATATACCGTGTAGTGGTGTTGTAAATTCACCTCCTCATTTCATCCCGTGGGTGTCGTAAGAGACGACAGAGGGAAACAAATCGGGAGATGTGCAGCATCGTCTTCCTAATAACGACTTAAATAAAAAAAACTGCGGCTGCCACCCCACTTGCCAAGCGTGGCAACCACAGAAATCGGAATAAGAAGACAATAGAAGTCGCATAGACACGTGACCTTGTCCCCGCTATGATGTGTTGACAAACATTCACCATTTTGTGGTTTAGTTGCACGGAGAACGTCGTACGTGAATTTATGTTATTGTAATGGTAAACTGCAGCATAATCAGTTGTAAAAACTAATCAAGGATGTGTAATTCAACGAATAAAGGCATGACATTTCATCGGTAAGTTGATTATTTACTAATTATCACTGTTTTAATTAATTAACATCTAGATGAATACTTTACTATGATATTTACCTTTGTAAAATTTTATTTATTACTTTTCGTATTGTACAATTACCATTGCTGCTTTTGTTCTACCGTAGTACGCGTTGTATTGCGTATATTTATAATACGGCTGCAGGCATTGGAGAATTTTTAATTTTTAATTTAAGATGTGGCAACATCGGTTTTGGAAGTAATCGAGCACTAATTAATTTCTATTGTCATATTATTACTATTTCTGTGGTGGCAATTATGGCAAATATCGCCTCTGTGAGGCAATCTATGGCTGAGGTTTATGTTCAGCAGTGGACTTTAAAAGGCTGTAACGGTAACGGTAACGGTAACTATAGTCTATAGTCCGCTAAAAACTGAGACTTCCATATTTTACTAGCGTATATAAAAAAAAATTTCAAACGAAATCGTATCTTTATCGTTTAAATTCTTTAGATCTAAAATGTTTTCAACTAGCTGTTCTCCGCGACTTCGTTCGCAACGAATTTATTTACAATTGGATTTCAAGGGTTATCATTTTTTTGCGCGGAACTTTAATTCTTTTTTTCTAAAATAAAACCGCCTAAGTTTACTCCTTAGAATATCAACAATCTGCCAGTGAAAGTCCCGTCAAAATCGGTCAAAAAGATTAGCCGGAACAAACACACAGACAGCCAACAGTTTTAAAAATTGTTTTTTTTTTTGTTATTAGTACCGTATATATATTTAGCAAATTTCAAATGAATTTAGTAAAAAGCTGTTATTTTTATATTACAAACAGTCACTTCAATTTTATTTTTCTGTATAGATTAGTTTATACGTGGTAGTCACGTTGCAGCTATATCATGGTTGTAGTACGAAAGGGTCGGCTCGACCGGGGCAGGACCACGCTCTCACAGAATACCAGGGTAAAATAGCAGCTTAATGCTGCTGTTTCGTATGGTGAGTGTATAGAACCGGAGAAGCGTTTTACTGGAATCAAGGCATTCCATTTTAGTCCTCAGGGGTGACATGACGCATCTGCATTTTGAATCTTAATCGCGGTTAAATGTAGATGTCTATGGGCCACAGCTTCCATTTACCATCAGGTGGACTGTGGACTGTGTTCTCGTTTGTCACACATATTATATAAAAAAAGATAATGTATTTAAATAAAAACGAATGGTTTTATATTTTAAAAAGCTTATGAGTATATGATTCTCTAGTCTTCAAGATTGCTTTAGAACAATCGAAATTAGACGAAATATATGAAAGTAAAAGAAAGTGTTTTGATTCCGCAAAAATAATTAAGTAATTTAGATATTTTACATAACTTCATAAATATTATAACATTTGCCTTTGTTTATATTAATCACGTGTTAATTACTATCAATCCCATTTCTTTTGGCAATAGTAATGATATATGCATGGATAATGAGACAAAGGCCAATATTTATCTAACGACTCCCTAGCTCTCAATAACCACAAATGCATGATTAAGATTATTACATTTGATAAGTCTTACTAATTTCTTTATCAGATTTACGGGCTCTATTTTTATGTTAAAAATCATATTGTAACCAAAATTACCTGCACAATTAGTAATACCAAAATTATACAATGAATAAAATTTTTGGTAAACTTAACATAATATGCATTTGGTACAATATAATATTGCCTATAATAATAAAGGTTATAAAAACGAATATATCTTAAAATACAATTAACCAAAAAATATCAATGCTCGGGCACAATGGAATGTACACAAAAATAAAATATTCCAACAAAAAACATACACTGGCATAAATACAGAAACTTATATTTCTTTATTTATGCCGGTGTTATACATACATACATATTTATATATATATATATATATATATATATATATATATATATATATATATATATGTGTGTAACTAGATCCTAAAATTAATGTGTTGTCATTTATTGTTAATACGTCTACAAAATTCTTAAATATTCAGAAGTCCGGAAATAAGTGAAAACTAAATTATAAGTTTCCCTCACACTTATACATACATCTATACACAGGTCAAACTAATAAAAGAATAAGTGCAATAAGTGTTAAAGTTACAGCCTATATAATGTGTCCCATAGCTGGGCATAGAATTAACTTCTGAGAGGGTTTTAAGGCTTAATGTTCGTCGCGGTGTCCAAATGCAGACTTCACGTCTTCGAAATATTTTATTATATTTCTGAGATATGCAGGTTTCCTCACGATGTTTTCCTTCACCGCCGAGCACGTGATAAATCAGCACTCTAAATTGCAATTAAGAATTTCATTGGTGCCGGCGGGAATCAAACCCGAGTTGCTCGCGTATTGTGAAATTTACAGCAAGTGCTAAGCCTCTAAGCCACCAGACATTTCACAAACTATAAATGTCGCATTAAATTTCGAGATTGCAAAACACAATTGCTTCTATTTTAATTTTTATATAGAATAAGTGGATTCATTAGCTCACAGATACTTAAACCCCGATTTAGAATCGAAAATCGTTATTATCTAGGATTAAGATGAAATCCCGTACAGTATAAAGAATCTCCGGTTATCTACACACCAAACGTAACAGAAAAGACTATAGCGGGCTACATACGACATGATATCGGTGGCGATCTAGGGTGGAGTAGTGGGGATGCCTCCTAGATTGCCTCTAGATCGTGTCGTATGTAGGGCCATCCTAAGTCGTGGCCGATATCGCCTCCTTAATCGGCTGGCAGGAGCAAAAATGCAGCCGATGCTTCCTAGATCGGGGCCCCGCCCCCTCCGTACTGCGTGTGTGTAGGCGCATCGGCCCGATTTCTTTTGGCAGTCGCCGCCGGCTACTGCCTCGCGGAAGGACGTTAACGAAACAGTGATACTGAATGACCTTTATTCCATAACAAAATTTTTACATTTTAAACATGTGAACGAAGTAGAAGCCTATGGCACTGATATTTTACAAAAAAAAAAATTGAATAAATAAATTAATTAAAATATATCGAAATTCAAATCATATCCACCGTAGCCTGTCCTTGCGACAACAAACTAATTGTTTTATTGCCGTTCATAAAGTAGGGTGTACGAAGTAAGTAAGGAGAAGATAAAGCCTCTCCTCAACAACTAACTCCTATTCCAACGCTATCAACACAAGATCGCACTCAGATCTCTTACGTGCCTTCATCCTCTCATCAACAACTAACTCCTACTCCTTCACCATCTCCACATCAACAAACAAGCTATATAGAAGGGAGTATGTCCGAAATTAAAGGTTTCTTTATGTTTAATGTATTTTATTTGAGTATCCATAAATAAAGATTACATTAAAAAAGTATACATATTATTATACAAAAGTATTTTATTTCTTTGTTTGTTGTGTGTAGTACATAACCCGATTTTGTTATTTCTTTGTTTGTTGTGTGTAGTACATAACCCGATTTTGACCAAAGCAGAAATGAACAAAGAGAAGAAATAACTAAATAGCATAGGTAGGAGAAATTGATGTTTTTATATAAGTTGCGAAATCATAAATATAGAAAAATTCTAGAAGATTGTAAAACCTGTCTTCATCTATCCGGAGAAAATTAATCATGTCTTTGGATTACAGACCATTTAGTACGTTTATGTGGCTTAATTTTTGTCTCTTTTGGGGCCATTTTTCACCCAGCAACTCCTCTTTTTCTATTTTCGAATAAATTAACCGAGAGGGCTAATTCCAAACCAACACGTTGGTGTTTTAAGAGAGTCGGAGGCATTTTGAAGAACTATACCGCATATGCGTTCCGCTCCAAGTCCAAACGCGTACTGCTAGGCAGGCCCGTGTGTAGGGTCTGCCTCGATAAAAACCCCGATTTCTTTCCACCCTAGATCGCCACCGATATCGTCTCGTATGTAGCCCGCTTATCCCAATTTCTAAAGAAAATTGATGCACATTCTAATTTTAACCGATTAATTTTTATTTTCATTTTATAGAATAATAATAACAGAAATCCTTTTACAATGTTAGTTATAAGACATACTTTTACTGTAATATCAATTTTCAGGCCGATAACGCGTCTAAATAATTGACGGCCAAAGTAATACGCTACGCCAACAATGCCGCCCGTTTCAGCTTTTAGTTCTCATTTTGTTCTACGATGAAAATTCAATTACTCGCACGAAGCTCGCTCGGAGGCGGGCGAGCGGCGCTAGTCGTGTTCCCTTTGATGGAATGTTTTACATCTCCAAACTACGGCCTGCTACTGAAGTGTTTCCCGGGTACAGTTCTGATTAGGAGATATGAGGACTGTTTCGCCAATTAGACTTACATTTTTACGAACACTGGGATGTTTTATGGCTGATTCAATGATTTACGAGGGCGGTGTTGCAGGGTGGGTTGCGCGGAGGGCAGGCACAAGGGTTGCGCAGGGTACGGGCGGCGGGGGGCGTCGGCGCGCCATTGGCCGACACTGCATCGATCGCGCGACGAGCTCAAAGC